ACTCGTGCGTTTGTCTTTTTTATCATCCATACACCTTACATACATCACATATAACACATCCAAACACCTGTTACACTTCTGTAACACCATCTTTATCATCCTCTAAACTCCATCTCCGAAGCTTGCACATTGACTTGGTTAGAGAGATTCAGACACTTTCAACACAAAGTAAGGATTGGAACAACTTTAGGGAGGTCCAAGGAAGCTTAATCAATTATTTACTTGCACCTGGAAGCCTCCACACGCGTTCTGAGTTTTCACTTCAAGAGGTAAGTTTCTCCAACTTTGAAACCCTTATACATGCATCATTTTCTTTCAATTTCAAAAGATAAAATATAGATATGATTGCCCTAAAACTAACCATGTCCTTAGTTTTCATTTATGTTGACTATGTGATGGGAATTTTGGAATTTAAGTTTCTGAAATATTAGGTTTCAGTTTGGTACCAAGCAAAATTCGTTTCAGCCTTTAACTTATAGCTTTAAAAAGTTACATGGTTGAATTCGTGGTAAAAAATCAAGCAAGTTTGATGTTTATATCTTTCAATTTGGTTGAGATATGGAGCTTTTACAAAATTTGAAAATGTTGTTGTTGTTATTGTCAAACGCGCGCGAGGAAGAAGATGAAGTTCAATTTTTGAAAACTTATTTATTTTATATTTAATGATTGTTGTTTCATAAACGGATGTAACAGCACCCCAGTGGCAACACGCTTGCTCTTAAGTCATATTTATGTCTGGTCCTGGGTTCGATCCAGGCGTGAGACATTTTTTCTTTTCTATGTTTATTTCTCACAGATCCAGTGCAAACAAGCCTAATGCGCATATCATGAGCCTCATGCCATCATCATCAGATGTTCATCAAGCCAGATCCAACGCCCCAAGACAACCATGACCATGATGCACCTTCATGAAGTCAATCACAGGGAATCCAGCGCAGGCACCTGGACTCTTTGTTTTGAGCCTAGCATTTCTGTTTCTTTCCATACCCCCCCAATTTCCTTTTACAAACATAGACTCATTTTAATTATTTATTTTTATTTTAATTAACATTTTTTTCTTTAACCAATTTCATTTTTTATTTAATCAACAAAAATCATAAAATCATAAAAAATTCAGATTTAGATTTTTAATTAATTAATTTAATTTTTGATAATTAAAATTAATTTAATTTAATCACCTTGTTTTATTTTAAATGATTAGTTTGCAAATTAACTAAGAATTAGATTTTATTTTTATTAATCATTTCCAAATATTTTTTCTAAATAAAAACAATAAAAATATTTTCTTAAATCCCTTAGAATTTTTTAGGTCTTAAATATTTTTCCTCTTCAATATCTTCGTGCATTTGCTTATTTTTCGCATTTATATAATTATTGTAATTGCTCAATGGATTATAATAGCTTTAATTAGGGTTTACTATTTTTCATCCCCATTCATAAATTTATACTCCCCATCCCCAAAGCCTTGTAATAGCATAGAACATTTAATTTCCGCAATTTACTGCTTTCCTTATAACTGTTAGTAATTAGGGTTTGTATGGCAAGATTAAAATCAACCATTAGAAAACCTAATCTCAAGATAAATAATTGAAATCAAAACACTTCGCACACGCACACCTTTAGGGTAACCTCACTTGTTGCCTCGGATTCAAACAGTCATGTCCCTCGAACGTAAGATCCTTTAGCAAAGACCCTCAGTTAAAAGATCGTAGTCCCTCGATGACCCTTCAATGCTGCCTTCGGTAAACGATCTTAGTCCCTTACAAAGATTGTTAAAACATCCTACAATTTTCCTTCTATGATTGTACAATGACCCACGTCTGTCTCTCACATCCAATGATATGGTTTCCTACTAACTAATGGTAGGATAACACTATCTAAAGGAGGAGGAAAAGAACAAATACTCTTTTGAGTAGGTAGATCGCTCGTAATCGCTTGCTCACAAACTAAAATAATTTCCACACTTCATACTTTTAAAACAACTACTTCCAAAACACTTTATGAACACTCTTGAGGACTGATACAAGGGTTATTATAAAGCAGACAGCCTTACATTGGCATCTTCAAAACACTTTTTTCAAAACAAACATTTTGTATACATTCTCAACAATACGAGAATCATTACAAAATTGTCGTACTTAGGCATTTTCAAACATACACAACATAAAGCATTTCAAGAAGTGAGCTAGCAATCAAGAGCCCGTAGATAACTACGAATGAAAAGGGTGCTAATACCTTCCCTTTTCATCACCTACCCCCCGAACTCAAAAAAATTCTCATAGTTCTTTCCTGTTCTTTTCACCCTTTCCTTTATTGGATAAAAGAAAAGTCAGCGGCGACTCTTGCTATCTGTAACATTTGCGATAAAACGCAAAACTCAAAAGTCAGTTCTTCCACCGTATTATACATAGCATCAACCCCATCCACAACATCACCTCAGAACTCATCATTACCAACTATCATCTCATCCTCATCCACTACATCACTTCTGACTCCTCCATCTTCACAAAAAAAACTGCCCTCTCCCCTCAAATGACAACCAGAGCCCAACACGGTATTGTCAAACCTCGTAAACTCTTCAATCTCACTACATCAACTTCAACCTCCATATCCCATCTACCTACAAATCCCATTGATGCATTAAATGATCAAAATAGGAAAATGGCCATGAAAGATAAATTTTATGCTCTTATTGAAAATAAGATGTGGGACTTAGTTCCTCGTCCGTCTAATACTAATGTTATTAAGATTTTGTGGATTTTCAAGCATAAAAAAGAAATATGACGGATCCCTTGAGAGATACAAAGCTCACATTATAGGTAATGGTGTAAATCAACAAACTGGGATTAATTGTGGTGACAGATTCAGCCCGATGGTTAAACCGGCTACCATTCGATCGGTTCTAAGTTTTGCTTTATCTAAATCATGGTGTCTTTATAAATTAGATGTTAAAAATGCTTTCTTACATGGGAACCTTCATGAAATCGTATACATGCATCTACCTCTTGAATTTCGTAATTCTAAATTTCCTGATCATGTCTGTTTATTGAAGAAATCTCTATATGGTCTCAAATAAGCACCTCGCGTATGGTACCAGCGCTTTACTGATTATGTAGCTACAATGGGTTTCTCACACAATATTTTTGACCACTCTTTTTTTATTATTATCATGGAAATGACATAACTTACATTCTTCTGTATGTGGATGATATTATTCTTGTTGCATCATTTGACACTCTTCAAGAATCTATTATGGCACAATTGAGTTCTGAATTCTCCATGAAGGATCTGGGGCCTCTAAGTTATTTTCTGGGTATTTCTGTCACCGACATCCTGAAGGCCTTTTCCTTTCTCAAAAGAAATATGCAGAAGAAATTATCGAACGAGCTAGTATGTCCTCCTAGAAACCATCTTCCACAGCAGTAGACACAAAGGTGAAACTCAGTGGTTTGTCCGATAATCCTTATCCTGATCCAACTGAATATCGTAGCCTTGCTGGAGCATTGCAATACTTGACGTTCACTCTACCAGACATCTCATATGTAGTTCAACATGTGTGTTTATTTATGCATGATCCAAAAACTCAACACATGTCTGCTTTGAAGCCATATCCGATACCTTAATGGTACCATAGATTTCGACTTCCATCTGTACCCTTCATCTGTCGACAAGCTCATTTCTTACACAGACACGGATTGGGCCGGTTGTCCAGACACAAGATGATCTACCTCCGACTACTGTGTTTATCTCAGTGATAACTTGATCTCATGGTCCACAAAACACCAACATACCCTGTCTCACTCAAGTGATGAAGCTGAATACAGAGGAGTAACTAATGTTGTGTATGAATCATGTTGGTTACGTAACTTACTCTTAGAACTATGTTGTCGTGTCACAAAAGTTACTTTGGTATATTGTGACAACATCAGTGCGGTTTATCTTTCCAACAATCTTGTTCATCAATGCACCAAACATATTGAAATGGATATATATTTCGTGTGTGAGAAAGTTGCTTGCGGTCAAGTACGCGTTCTTTACATTCCCTGGCGTTTTCAGATTGCTGACATCTTCACAAAAAGAATTTTGTTGCAACTTTTTGATGACTTTCGAGATAGTCTCAACATTCGTTCACTTCAAATTTTGACTATGGAGGTGTATTAAATATGTAAATATAGAAAGATTGCAAATGATTAATAGAATCATGACTACATATTTGTATTGTGTATATAAATGACTATTAGATTAATGAAAAGACAACAACCTAAATCATCTTACACAGATGAACATAAACCTTTTACACATTATATCCGGGAAGAAAAGCAAAATAGATATGCTAGAAGTGGTAGTCAACTCTATAACACCCGCTCGAATGGTGGAGTGGGAAATCTTTCTATATGATGCTCCAATTTAGATTATGAATTGTCATGCAAATTTAACATTCGATTTCATTTGGGAAGAGAATTCTTGCAATGTCTAATTATCGATTTGCTTAATTCATTGACGATTTAGACATAGCGTACATTGATCATGCAATCAACTCTAGAGCAGCATTGAATCGATGGACTGTTTATGTATAATTTATTTTGGTATTGATTTTTTTAATCTTTTTTGTTGCATGAGTGAAGTGTAACCTATTTTGTAATTGTTTAACTAAAGTAGTTAACTAATAACAAATATTTTAATAATAAATTTGAATACATTAATATATGGTTGTTAATTTGAAGAGTCTGTTGCATTAGTTAAAAAGGAGCGGAGCAGTGAGAATTTCACAACGATCCCTTCGTCCCCGGGTTGGGTGCCAGTTGTTAGTTATTGTTTTACCACCATATAATAACAACATAACACGCCGCATTCTCCTCTTGTTTGCTACTACCACACACCATTTTCCTTTTCTCCTCCTCTTGTTTGCTACTACCACGTCCCACACACACCATTTTCCTTTTCTCCTCTTCTTGTTTGCTACTACCACACCCCACACACAACGCTTGGTCTAGTGAATCATGACGGACACCACTGATGACATTGCAGAGGAAATATCCTTCCAAAGCTTCGACGATGACTGTAGATTGCTCGGAAATCTTCTCAACGACGTCATGCAACGGGAAGTTGGCACCGCCTTTGTTGAAAAACTTGAAAAGATTCGAATCCTTGCACAGGTTACTTTCTTTTGCACGCCAACAAAAAAGGAATCAAATAAACCCAGTTTTCTTTGTTTTTTTTGAGAATGTTACTTAACCACAATTGATTGTGTTCTTTTTCCATCACAGAGTGCTTGTAATATGAGACAGGCAGGGATTGAGGACATGGCAGACATGTTGGAGAAGCAGTTGGCTTCTGAGTTATCCAACATGACGTTGGAAGAAGCTCAAACACTTGCCCGTGCCTTCGGTCACTATCTTACTTTGATGGCCATAGCAGAAACCCACCATAGGTAATAATTCATTTACACTACCACTTGCCAATTTATGTCACTCATCAATTACTTTGGTGCAGGGTTCGAAAAGGTGTCAACATGGCAAATTTTGCAAAATCTTGTGATGACAGCTTTCGCCAACTCTTGCAGGATGGAATTTCCCCAGATGACCTTTATAATACAGTTTGCAACCAGGTTTCTTTTCCTACTTTCATACTCAAGTCCATAACAAAACAAGTAAGCAAATCTCTCAACATTCATTATGACGTTTTTTTGGATCTTAAATAACAAGGTGATGTAAAAATCTGATTTCTGGACAATTATATCACTCAAACATTATGTTATATTCATGTACAATCTTTCATTACTAAATAAATGTCCAATAATAACTTTGATGCAACAGGCGGTTGAAATTGTTCTTACAGCTCATCCCACACAAATTAATCGACGTACCTTGCAATACAAACACATTAAGATTGCTGTGAGTTCATATTCTATTTCCTTTCATAAATTGTTAGTGTATAAGGTGATGAAGATTAAGAAAGAATAAGAGAATATATTTATTGCTCTCTAATCACGGCTACAAAAGCTGTAAGAAAAATTGATTAAAATATGACAGTTACCACTCCTCTATTTATACACAAAGTAAATTGCTACTTAGACCCTAACAAAAGTAAACTTAATAGCTAAGTTAACAAAACAAACTAAACTCAACTCCAGAAGCTAAACATGCTTCTGGAACATAATAAACTGCTACTTCTAACTAAGCAGTCTCACAAGTTTACAGCTTCTGACTAACAACTTCAGAAGCTCTACTGCTTCTGAATAATAACATCAAAAGCCTTTGGTTCCAACGACAACATCTGGATATAAATTACTTCTAATAAAAATTACTAGACTAGTTTTGAGCCTTGTGGACTTTGAATCTCAAATACCAAATTATTACCCTTGATGCAGCATCTTTTAGATTATAATGACCGACCTGATCTTGGCCATGAAGATCGAGAAATGGTGATTGAAGATCTGGTATGATTCATTCGACTGAAATAAATCACCAGTATTTCTAGTGCACTTACTTCTATTCTCATAATTCTTATTCGGCTTGGTAGGTGAGAGAGATAACTTCGATATGGCAGACAGATGAGCTTAGACGTCAGAAACCTACTCCAGTTGATGAAGCTAGAGCTGGTTGATTATTATATATTATATACTTTCATATAAAGCTATTATATATACTCCTTCACCAACAAGCTAAGCTTTTCAGTTATTCCTGAACAATAGTTTATGGCCCTTTCCAGATTGATTCTTCTTGCCACTAAAAGACTGTTCATCATTATTTAAACGCCTAATAGCTTAATTTTTTTATGGGGCTTGTCCTAGACATAAAAAATGTGATTAACTGTAAAAACTAAAAAATTCCTTAACTCCCCAGGATTGAATATTGTGGAGCAGTCGCTCTGGAAAGCTGTTCCTCATTATTTACGTCGAGTCAGCAATGCTTTAAAGAAGGTTTGCTTGTCTTTATTTTATGTCAGTCAACTTGTATATCCTTTCCCTTTCACAAGATTTTCAATACAATATTTATTGGTTTCCTTGCAGCACACGGGGAAACCACTTCCATTGACTTGCACTCCCATAAAGTTTGGGTCTTGGATGGGAGGTGATAGAGATGGAAACCCAAATGTGACAGCAAAGGTAGCGTTTTGTTTTCTCATAACTACACTAGTCTTATTCAACAGAAAGATGTTTCTAATAATGGAAGCATAGTTGGATTTTGTAAAATTTATTTTGCAAGGATGAACAAAATAATATGGTTTTTGACAGGGCCAGGGGCATTAGTTGATCCATGTTACCCACACCACCTAGTAAAGATTGATTGATTATTGTTGTTATAGTTTTATTCAGGATATGGCAGGATGTGCGTTTCTGTTTCAATCCTTGAAATGCAACTTTCTACATTAATATGATTCTGAAAGTCATGAAAAAATATAATAATTCTCAACTTGGGTTCTTTAGGTTACAAAAGATGTTTCACTTTTGTCAAGATGGATGGCAATTGACCTCTATATTCGGGAAGTAGACAGTCTGAGATTTGAGCTATCCATGAAGAGGTGCTCTGATAAGTTGTCAAAATTGGCACATGCAATTCTAGAAGGTTTGTCAGTTCTGTTTTGTATTTGGTGATATCTTCCAAATATTATTGGAGATTACATAATGGAAATTTCTTACCCCACCTTATGGAAAAGGGACACCCTATACAATTCCGAAATTGCCCATCGGAAAACCGGAAATACATTTCCGGTTCGCACCATATTTTACACAAAACATGTCAAATGTGGTTTCACCCTTCAAAATACAAAAAACGGTACCGGAGGTATACTTCCGGTTCTAAATCGGAATTCTGTTTCCAGTTCTATTAGCGGAAAGAGTGAATTTTGTTGTCATCTTGACATTTTATATATAACTGGAAGTATAATTCCGGTTTTATGGACTGAATTGTATTTTGAGATTATGATGCAATTCAATAATGTTTTCTGGTTTCTGTAAAGAATAAAACCGGAAATACACCTCCGGTTTCAAATCGAAATTAAATTTCCAGTTTCTATATCTAGGTGTGCACCTGAAGTATACTTCCGGAACATTTATGGTTTCACTTACATAATATGACCACTGAATACTACTACTACTGTTAGTCAACAAGTAACATGGTTATTTTGGTACAAACATATTATACAAACTTGATAACTCCTTTTTAAAGGCTGTTGTAAATAATATATTTAAACAGTGTAATGATTTGTAATGATTTGTATTCGGCCCATTAGCCAGGCCTATTAGGTTAGTGTTTATACATTTGACATTACATTGAAATACATTAGAAATATGATTCAACAAGGTATCACAAGCTCCTTTTTTGAGATATTGCTTCCGATACACCCTACCCGTCTTTAGTTCCACATTGCTTAGAGTATTCTCAAATGCAAATACAAAAATCAACGTTTCTGCCTGTACTGTGATGTTTTCTTCTAGGTTCTGGTATGTCATTGATGATTATCCTTAAAGATAAGTTTGACGCTTTTATAATCCACATTTAAGAATTGGTGATCACTTATTTTGCTTCAGATGCTAACAACGAGACTCAACGAGAGCATTGGAGCCAACCAGAGAGTAGAAGTCAGTCAAAACATTTAAATCTGACGGCTTCATTACTCCCATCTAAACTTCCAGCTAGAGCTCATTTACCTTCTTGTGCCGGTACACATTAACATAATTATGCTCAAAATTTATGTCTATTCATTTATTTGCATATCATGTTTTTTTTTTTTCTAGAACCCAACGAAAAATATTTAAATTATTTAATGGTGCTCTCAAATCTAATATTTCACTCACTGATTGCATGAACTTTGAAGTCAAATCCCACCAAGTATTAAAATGACATGTCCTTCATCATTCATAGACAAATTTTATTCATCTGTTTCTTGTGTATCTTAGTAGTTAGTATATCCATTTGCCTTCTTATTTGAATGTTGTTCCTTTCAAGTAAATGGTGAATCTGATCATCCAAGACTCGACATCCCGGGACCTGATTACAAACAAGTCAATCACAAGGTAGATCAATTTAGTAATTTTAGGGTTTTTGAATTTTCCTTTGAACCTTAGAGAGAATATATATATTGTACACGTTTTCACTTGTAGGATGGTAAGACTTCAACTACAAATATGAGTAATGCGGGAAGTTCCAGTAGCCATTCATCCCCAACAAGTTCAGAGAGTTCCAATAATTCATCAATTACAATTCCACGCTCTCCTAGTCAACAACTTCTTGCTCAGAGGAAATTATATGCAGAATCCCATATGGGAAGATCTAGTTTTCAGAAGCTTTTGGAGCCAAAGCTCCCTCATCTTCCTGGAATTGCTCCTTACAGGGTTTTCCTCGGGGATGTAAAAGATAAGGTATCACTTCTGATCTACTTTAATAACATAGTTGATTGTATCTGTATGGACACTAGTATTTAGTTGATTGTTATTCAACCCCTTAGTTCGAAGTTCTGCAAAGTTGTTTTGGAAAGAGACATATAGAGTGCAAATAAGACCTCTATATTTAGTGTTGGAGAGTATATGAACCATATGATGATTATTACTCTTAATTAATGTCATTTAGGTAGCAGCACTAATGGGAAATTATTTTCTTGATATTTAGGCCCAATTAGGGTACAGGTTCAGTTGTTTGTATTCTATTTATACCTCAATTGTATTAGTTCTAATATATAAAAAAAAGATATACCACAAAGTTTTGCATGGTATTAGAACAAAATATTTGAACCATCTCTAAATCTAGCACTACCACGTGGAAGAAAGCAAACTAGAAAGTTCAACCAACGACTTGTTCGAGAGGCGCTTTCTTACAATCACTAGTCACAAATTGAATGATCAGAATTACAATCAATAAGTGTGGTTAGTCAAAATTTACCTTCAAGGAAAGGGGAAGGAAGGTTATATCATAGGAGACTCCAAAAGTCCAAAAAAAGGATCCCAAACTCGAGAAAATGGCAGCTGGAAAACAACTTAGTAATGTCATGGATTCTCAATTCCATGACTAATGAAATGGGAGAAAATTTCATGTACTATGAAATTGCCAAAGAGATGTGGTATGCCAGGAAGGAAACCTGTTCTGATGTAGACAACATGTCTGCAACATTTGAAATCAAGAGCATATTTCATAAATTGCAACAAGGCGACCTCTCAGTCATAGAGTATTTTAATACTCTCAATCGTCGCCGGCAACAACAAGTTGTATATGATGAAGTTGAACGGAGTTGCAATGAGGATAAGAAGAAGTACAAAGACTTGGTGGAGGGAGATAGAGTTTACGCATTCCTATTGAGTTTGAACATGGACCTTGATGAAGTTTGTGGTAGAATCTTTGGAACCAAACCCTTAGGGAGAAGAGTCAGAGAAAAGTGATGCTTGGAAAATCCAATGCAACCCCGTCTATTGAAAGTTTTGCAATGGCAGCAATGAGAAATTCGTCTCGTTCCTTCTAGAAGAAAACTCGTCCTTGGTGTGACCACTGCAGGAAACTGGGTCAAACCAAGGACATGTGTTGGATCATTCCTGGTAGACCCTATGCGGAAAAACAGACTAGAAATTGGGACAAGAGAGGTAACACGATAGAGATAAATTCTAACTCAGCTCTATTTAGCTAGGAGAAATTGGAAGCTTTATAAAAAATTCCTCAACAAACCATTAGTACAGCTACTGCAATACAAAAAGATAATTTTTTGCATGCTTTAAACTCTAGAAAGGAAAAATTCATGAATTATTGACTCAAGAGCTTCTTACCACATACTGGAGACTTAACTTTGTTTAATAGCTATTCTCCATGTCAAAATAATTTCACAGTTCAAATAGTCGATGGTATTCTTTCTAATGTCATGGGTAAATGCTCTGTCATTATCTCACAAAATACTACCCTAGATTTAGTACTTTATGTTCATAAACATAATTGCAGTTTGATGTCCATTAACAAACTTACGAAAGATTTGATGTTTTGAAGTGTGTCGTTGAATTCTTCCCTAACCCGTGTGAATTTTAGATTTTAGAGTCGGGGAGGACGATTGACAATATTAAAGAATGTGCTAAATTCTATGTCCTTCAAGTTGAAGTGTCTATAACAGAATCCATTGCCAACTCTTGCGCAACAGTTCCTATGGGTGGAGAAAATTCTACAATGTTGTGCTATTATAGACTAGGCCGTCCAACTTTTATGTACTTGAAAAAAATGTTTCCCACATTATTCAATAAAAATACAAAGTTGTTTAAATGTAAGTTTGTTAATTGTCAAAACATACATGCATCACCCATCCATCGCAACATTATAAATCCTTCCAATCATTTTCTCTTATTCATAGCAATGTATGTGGACCATCACGAATCAGAAATGTCAATGGATCAAGATAGTTTGTCATCTTTATTGATGACCGCACATGAGTCACATGGGTTTACCTTATGAATGAAAAAACAAAAGTTAGACTAGTTATTTAAAAAATTTCATACCACGGTGCAAACACAATTTCAAAAAAAATAAAATGAAATTCTTAGGGGTTATAATGGCCGAGACTATAACTCTACACTAAATTCATACCTCTTAAAACTTGGAATCATACGCCAGAAGTTCATATACACCCCAACAAAACAATGTTGCTAAAAAGAAAAATAAACACTTTTTAGAAGTAACTAGATCCCTAACCATTTTCGGGAAGAAGTTGTCCCTTTTGCAACTTACTTTATAAACAAAATGTCTTCCCGAGTTCTCCAATTCAACACCCCTCACTCCACTCTCCAAACCACCAACCGTATTCTTACAACCATCCATGACTCTAAAAATATTTGGATGTTTAGCCTTTGTTCACAACCTAGACCCTAGGGGTGTTCGCGGTGGTTTTGATGCTAAAAGTCATTCGAACCGCAAGATAAAATAACATGCGGTTTGGTTTGGTTCGATTGACTTTTAGAAAAAACCAAACTAAATGCGGTTTGGTTTGGTTCTGTTGGTTCGATTTTTTTACAAATATTTTATTGAATCATACATACACATAGATGACAACATAATTTTGTATTTAGTCATTCATACACTACCAAATAACAACCAAACTCGTTATATTTGGACAACAATTTTTTATTTAATAGGTAAAAATTAGTTAAGACAAAAGTGGAATAATAAACATAAAATAATAGCATAAAACAATATAGAAAATATTATAATGAAACAAAAAAAAAAAGAAAAGATGAGAGATTAATGAAGATGAAAAAGAAAGAACATAAGAGAGGAGAGATTAGTGAAGAAGATGTGCGATAAAAATGAATTTGAAAAAGGGAACAGTTGCATAAAAATGAGAAGGTGGCGAAGAAGGCGCAATATTGCTAAGGAAGAGAAAATCGTTTGTAATCGTAAGACTAAGGTATAATAGGTTTAGGTTTGGGTTGAATGTGAGTTAGGTAAAATTTAGGTTGTAACATAATGCGGTTTGATTCGGTTTGCAAAATACAAACCGCAAACTGAACCAAACCGTGCGGTTTTATTAAAATATGGCTCGGGTACATCCGAACCAAATGTGATTTTTTGCAGTTTCGATTTGGTTTAGTTCGATTTACGATTTTCTATTGGATTGGTTCAGTTTTGAACAGCTATATTAGACCCTCATCGCAACAAACTTGATCCTAAATTTATCAATGCAATGCATCTTCCTCGGTTATTCTCCTCACAAAAGGGGTATAGATGCTACTCACCTTCAGTGAGAATCAATCTTAATATCCCAAAGTTGGCATTCAAGGAGAGAAAATCTATCCTAATGAAGAATAAAAATCCAACTTTTGGGATTTGAGCTAATCGAGTTCAGGCCAACTGTGGAGGTAGCAGAGCCCAGATCTGAACCAGAGGAAACTATAATTGAAAATGCAGAGGAACCTGCAGTGGAAGATGTTGGAAAAGCGGAGGAAAAGACAATGGAAAATGGAGAAAATACAAAGGAAACCACGTAACATTCAACACCAGGAGACAACTTGCTATTGCATTTTAGGTAGGGAAGGAAAGGAAAAGAGTCCAACACAGCTCTAAGGCAGAACCATGAACTGAACTTAACTCTAGAAAATGATGTTCCCTCGGGTAATATTTTTCCCAACTCCGTAAATGTTAGCGAAATTGATGTTCCTATTGCCTTCAAAAAGGGGAGAGATCCTGTACTAAACAACTCATCGAAATGTATGTATCATATGGAAATTTTTCAAAAAGTTATTAGACATTTGTGGTAGTTCTTGACAACACAAATATTCCAGTGAACAATAAGAATGGGCAACAACTGTAGCAGAAGAGGTTCAAGCCCTGGTTAAAAATGATACTTAGAAGATCACCAACGTACCATGAGGGAAGAATATAGTTGGATGCAAGTGGATAATCTATGTAAAATACAACACAAATGGGATTATAAATTGATACAAATCTCAACTTGTGGCAAAGGGATTTACACAATCATATGGAGTGGACTATGAAGAAACCTTGGCACCTGTGGCCAAACTAAATTCAGTTAGCGACTCATATTCTCTCTAGCTGCAGATTTAGATCGGTCACTCCATTAACCAGAAATAAAAATAGCTTTCATAAACGGTGAGTTGGAAGAGGAAGTTTATATGCATATTCCTCCGGGACTTGAATCAACCAGCACTTCAAATATGATGTGCCGACTTCGAAAATCCCTATATGGCCTCATGCAATCTCCATGGATGTGGTTTGATAGATTGACTTGAGTTTTCGTTCGTGCATTACTATTTCTTGAAGTAAATCAAGAGTATATTTCCTTTGTGATACATGTATACCATTCTTTGCTAGAGCAACTTCCATCCCTAAAAATACTTGGATGCAAGGAACCAATACTCTCATTGAACCGGTAAAAGGGAGTGAAGACGAAAGCCCATCAGCTGATAACGATAGATATTTAAGCCTAGTTGGAAAACTAAGCTATCTAACTCGTAATAGGCACGACATTGCATTTGCGGTAAGTTTGACTTGTCGCTACATGTCAAATCTAACCGAGGGCCACATGAAAGTTGTGAATAGAATCTCCAACGCCTCAAGGGCACACCAGGTTGAGGCCTCCACTTCAAGAGGAACTCAAACAAGGGCGTTGAAGTTTACACAGATTTAGATTGGGCAGGATGTTCCATAGACAGAAAATCAACTATAGGTTATTGTTCCTTTGTGTGGGGGAACCTTGTGACTTGGAGAAGCAAGAAGAAATCTGGTGTAGTTAGAAGTAGTGCTGAAAAAGAATTTAGAGCGATGAAATCAAAATTTCTGTGAATCATACTGTGAGGATATTAAGTGATAACAAAGCTTCTATAAGCATTGCAAAGAACTTAGTTCATCACGTTAGGACGAAACATGTGGAAATTTACAA